ATAGATAGATAGACAGACAGACAGACGGATAGACAGATGGATAGACAGATAGATAGATAGATAGATAGACGGATAGGTAGACAGATAGATAGACAGACAGACAGATAGGTAGATAGACAGACAGACAGACAGACAGATAGCTATATAGACAGACAGATAGATAGACTGACTGACAGACAGATAGATAGACAGACAGACAGACAGACAGACAGACACATCTTGTTTTCCCATAAAAATCATTCCGTTCCAAACACTTGCACCAGTGATCATTATATCAGGCAGTTCTAGTGTCATTTTAATTATTTCTATCAGTTTGATTAGGTCAGTATTGCAGAATCAGGGTTATTTTTACAATTTGCACAATGTAGCTTATAGACTAAACGTAGCCATCATATGGGTTGTGTGCCATATAGAATGTTATTTTTGACTGACTGTTAGTACAACACGTCTATATTGTGCGTTTTTTCATATTTCCCTTCAGGTGAAGGACCTGGCGTCTGTGTCGCTGAAGCAGCCGGTGAGGATCTTTGTGAACAGTAATACAGACGTGGCGCCGTATCTCAGACAGGAGTTCGTGAGGATCAGACCCAATAAAGAAGGAGACAGAGAGGCTATTGTTGCAGGTAAGGTGCCCTAATGAGTGGCCTTGTTGGTCTGCTCTCTACTTAGGGTGTTGTGACTGAACTGCATCTTTATAAGTGACTGATTTCAAGTGCTTTTCATTGATAGTAACTCCTTGATAGTAAGCTACTTGTGAACTGCACAAAAAGACACAATGATTCCAGTAGAGTTTGGCGTTACTGTTTTCCTCTTAACACAAAATATGCATAATCACTTATGAATGTGCAATTTTTCATCTTGTTGAGCTATTTACAATAAAAAATAGAAATAAAAAATATTAAAATATATTTATAATGTATCTTTCCTTTGAAACTGTCCACCATCTTTGAAGAAAATTATTTTAGCTAATTGCAGTCAGTTTTATTTTAGTATATGGTACTGTTTTATTTTTTTTTATATATATATTTTTTCGGTTTTAATTTTAACTTCATTTTGAAATGTATTTATTTATGACTTTTTAATCAATTAGTTTTGACTTTTATTTGTTTTTTATTTTTCTCTTCAGCATGAATTTATTTTCAGGTTTAGTTTTAGTCATTTTAGTACTTTAATGGTTTAAATCATTTAATTTAGCTTTTACAGTTACTGAAAAAATATTTTTAATACATTTAGTCATTTAGTCTTGATGAAGGATAACAATACTGATCGCAGAGCATTTGGGGATCGCGTGCAATGCATGCAATATCAATGGCAAAAACCAAACAATTTTGCTGCCTACTGTTTTGAAGTAACTTATGATGTCTAAAAGTGCTGTCTAGTTAGGCAGCTCACTAGGGTTTGGAACAGAGTCATAGAGTCTTTTCAAACCTGGACTAATTTGTTCTCGGATTTAGTTTCATTCTGAAACGTGTGTATTAAATCCCGTTATTGTCCGCAGCTCTCCTGACCAGAACGTTTCAGGATCACGTGATGCTCTTCACTCAGACGAAGAAGCAGGCTCACCGCATGCACATCCTGCTGGGCTTGATGGGGTTAAAGGTCGGCGAGCTTCACGGAAACCTGTCGCAGACGCAGAGATTGGAGAGTCTGAAGTGAGTTTCATGCAATAATAAAACACAAAGATTTGACTTTAATAAACTGCTGCATGAAAGACATCCTTGTGCTTCAGGCGTTTCAAGGACGAACAGATTGATATTTTAGTGGCTACAGACGTGGCTGCCAGAGGTCTGGATATAGAGGGAGTCAAAACTGTGAGTTCTCATGAGTTTGCAACTAATATCCGTGTTAGTGAAACCCCAGAGAACGCATGTGTGAATGCATGTGTGTTTGCAGGTGATAAACTTCACCATGCCCAACACAGTGAAGCATTACGTGCACAGGGTGGGCCGAACGGCTCGCGCGGGGAAAGTGGGCCGATCCGTGTCTCTCGTGGGTGAGACTGAGAGGAAGATGCTGAAAGAGATCGTTAAAAAAGCCAAAACCCCCGTCAAAGCTAGAGTCATTCCTCAAGGTAAAGATGCTTCATCTTGTGTTGAGTTAAACTCACAACTGTGTTCCAACTTATGACCAAATCTCTCTTTTGAGTTGGTTGTTTCTGATAAATCTGTCTGAATGGCTCTTTGCACATCGGTCGAAATCCGCGGTGTCCTTCCACAAATTAAGACATTACAAAGTCTTAAATTCATAAAGTAATGGCAATAAATGTTGGATGATTTCCCATACAAATATCTAAACATTCTTAAATCAAGATACAGTTACTTGAGAAGCAGAATTAAGTCTTTTTTTCTGAGAAATTTAAGAAAATTGAGTTTGTTTTTAAACAAATACCTCTCAATGGGGTACGAAAACTTGTTTTCCCTTTGAATTAAGTTGATTTTCATGACTCCATTAGCAGATATTTGTTTTTTTTTAATCACAAACGCAGTTAATTTTGAGCAGTTTCTCCTAGAACAAGACTTCTTAATTGATGCCATTTTGCTTCTCAAGTAAATATAACCTGATTTAAGAGTCTTTAGACATTTGCACTGGAAAACAACAAAAAAAAAAAGACAAAGGAAGAGCATCACGTTTTTTGTAGAGTGATCAGAAAGTACATTAGGGCCTGGTTTCACAGACAGGGTTTAGCTTAAGTCAGGACTAGGCAATAGTTCAATTTGGACATTTAAGTAATTTTTATTAACGTGCCTTAGAAAAAACATTACTGGTGTGCATTTTGAGACAGAACAGAGGCACTGATATATTTTAAAATCAGTCGGTGCTAGTTTCTTTCAGTTAAAACAGCTCAGACTTACACTTTAGTCTGGGATTAGGCTTAAGTCTTGTCTGTGAAACCGGGGGTAAAAGTCATTTCCATATTCTAACGGTTGAGAGCAAAGCTGTTAAACTCAGGGGGTCGGTGCCGCGGTGGGCATGTGACGTAACCGGTGTCACCGTCAGCACCGTCTATCGCGCAAGCCTAATGTGAATATATATCAAAATGTAATTTATTCCTGTGATCAAAGCTGTATTTTCAGCATCATTACTCCAGTCTTCAGTGTCACATGATCTTCAGAAATCATTCTAATATGCTGATTTGCTGCTCAAGAAACATTTCTGATTATTATCAATGTTGAGAACAGTTGTGCTGCCCAATATTGTTGTGGAAACAGTGATACATTTTGGTTTTCAGGATTCTTTGAATAGAAAGTTGAAAAGAACAAATCTTTTTAACATTATAAATGACTTTACTGTTACTTTTGATCAATGTAATGCGTCCTTGATGAACAAAAGTATTAATTTGATCAAAAAAAGAACAATAGTGAACACAGCAATGAGAAAATATAATCCACTTGTCATAACCACATTTCTGCTTCAGATGTGCATTAAACTGTCACATTTTCAATACATTTTCTTAATATTTCAATAATTGTTTGCGTGTGTCTGCATTTATCATCTCGTCACGCTCTTTCATTTTCCTTTTCTTTGTCAAAGTGACAAAAGCGCTGCAGGATTTTGATTTGGCTCTGAGAGGAAAGAAGAAACGTGCGCAGTTCCTGAAACAGGGCAAGAAGAAAGAGTTAACGGTGAGATTATTTCATCAAACTGTCTTTTTGGCTTTATGCTTTTATGACCTGGCTTTGTACATCACTGTGCTATCTGAAATTAAATTTGCTCTCGTAGCGAATCCATGAATCATCATAGAGGTCTAACACCGTATGCTGCGTCAGATCTGTGTATTTGAATGTTTAACGTGTTTGTGTGTGTGTGTGTGTTTGTTTGTCTGTGTGTGTGTGTGTGTTTTTTTTTGTGTGTTTCCGCAGGCGGAGGAGAGAGCTCAGTTCGAGGTGCTGAAGTCTCAGATGTACGCCGAGCGAGTCGCCAAGCGTGATCGCAAGCCTAAGCGAGCCAGAGCCATTCCTGAAGAAGAACCTGTGAAGAAAGGTCAGCAAATAAACACTTGAACCTCCTGCATGGGCTGAGCATTGGTAAACATGCATTTGAGTTGATTTGAATTCAAATTCTGACTGCTTAAACTTTCTTCTTCCAGTTTCCAAAGACAAGGGCGGCAGAAAGAAGTCTGTGTTTGACAAGGAGCTCACGAACACCAGCAAGAAAACTCTGAAGCAGTACAGAGCCGGGTGTGTGCCGCTGCATGCCATCCTGAAGATTTCACGCTTCTGTGTTCTTGTCTCTGAGTCTAACAGTGATTTCTCTGTCTAGGCTCGGCATTCCAAACAAGAAAGGAGGACGCTTCAAGTCAAAGGCCAGGTAAGATTTATTACAATCAACTCCCTAAAACACATCCCCATTAGACTCAGTCATTAAATATGCATGCAACAAAAACTACATTTTTGGTATTGTCAGACTTCAATTTCATTTAACAGAGCATTGTCAATGAGAACAGACTGATTTTGTCAACTTTAATTTGTTATTTGTTCGTATAATGCATTGTTTGGGAATTATGGAGGGATTTAAATTACTTGGATATATAAAAGTAAATGATGAAATAAAATACACACCTTGAAATTAAATGTAGTGGACAACATAAAGCAACAAATGAATGAATCCTAAAATAATTGAATACATCATGCAAGTTATTGCAATTACAAAAGATTAACAAGGGTGTGAAATGTATTTATTTTATGTTTGCATTTTGTTGCACTTCTGTTTATCTATTGCTACATTCCATTATGTGATTAATCATTTAATAATATATTTAATATAGACTGGTAAATTACTGCATAGAGAATAACAATTTTTCTTTCCAAGTCTACATGCACGGAGTGTGATAAGGAAAAGCGTATTTTAAATACTTTATGAAAATACACAAATATTTTATAAAAACAGTTCATACATTTGTGTGTCTGTATTGTGAAATTTATATTCTCTGAAGCTATTTTAAACATGTTTGCAATTATTTCAAGTAGGAAAAAAGTGTATATTTTAGGTACATTTTAACTTAATGTCTTGATGGATTTTATATAAGAAAATGAGTGAATGGGGGGGGTGTGTGTAATTTTTGCCTGCTGCGTCTCATCTCAAGTCTTTTATGTGTCTTTGCAGATACAGAAGAAAGTGAAGCCGTGCCTGATGTGTCAGTGAAACATCACCCTCTTTATCGTTTTATCATCATCCTCCCTCCAAACTTTCCCCAAAATAAACCTCTACAACTTGTTTAACCTGTACTTCTGTTTGTCCATGCGTTTATCATGGTAGAGCAGAGTAAATATGAACCAATGACTAATGAGCATCAGAAATCAAATTGATTTCCCTCGATTCAAGCCAAATGATTCCTGCAGAGCGAGATGATTAATCAGTGTCCGGGGCAGGAAACTCCTTTATCAGACGATCTTAAAGATAATGCAGAAAAACTCTCCCTGTAACCATAAAAAAAAAAAAATAATAAAAAATGAATGAAGCTCCAACAGTATTCTGCACAGTAAAGATGCAAAATATAACAAAACAATAAAATTAGAGGTGATACTTTATTTGAAGGTGTCCTTGTTACACGTTACATGTACTTACTATTATAATTACTATTAATTATGCATAATTGCATGCAAGTAACCCTAAGCCAAACCCTAACCATATAGTAAGTACATGTAGTTAATTAATATTACTCGGTACTTAAATGTATAATTACACTGTAACAAGGACACCTTCAAATAAAGTGTAGCCAAATTTGATTTGTTTATATTTAATTTTTTAATAAGAAATTGTAATTTATTATATTTTATTAAATATTTGGCTACACTTTATTTTAAGGTGTCCTTGTTACACTGTAATACATTGAAAGACTGAGTAATATTAATTAACTACATGTACTTTACTATATGTAAAGGTTTGGCTTAGGGTTACTTGCATGTAATTATGCATAATTTATTGTTATTATAATAGTAAGTATTGTGCATGTAATGTGTAACAAGGACATCGTAAAAATAAAGTGTTGCCAAATATTTTTATTTATTGCTTGATATTTACTTATTTATTCAATTATTTACTCTGTTAAAAATGAAGGTGATGCTTATAAGTACATGCAGAGAGAAATCTGCTGAACTACATACTTGTGTAAATATCATATGGAGCTTCTTTATTGCTTTATTGTAGTAATTACTCGTGTTTATAGAGTATATGGTAACAGAATATGAGTGAACATTATCAGTATTTAATATTTATTTAAATTTTAGTACATTCATAAATTAAAGCAATAAGCCCCAAGAAGCCGTGGTTTACAGTGAATTTATAACAGCTAAGGGGGTTTTAGGCA